CATGGCTGCGGCACGGCCCCGGGAGCCCCCCGGGAGCGGGGTCCGCCGCCACCGCCTCCCTCCCGCGCCGCCCGTCTCTGCCGCATCCCCGCCGGGCCCGCGCCGTGCGGGGCTCAGCCCCAGCTCGCAACCGGGACCACGCAGCCGCTCGCCCACCCCCCCCGGCTGGGACGGGGGCGAGAACTGTAAGAGTGAAAGAGAGGAAACACCGACGGGTTGACATGAGGAGAGTTCAATAAAGCAGAAGCCGCACACACGAGCATACTAACAAAACAGACATACTAACAAAAATATATCAATTAGCTGAAGCAAAACTCAGCCCATTTCTCACACCACGAAGTGTCCCTTTGGGCTGGGGTCAGCTCTCCCGGCTCTGTCCCCTCCCCCTGCCCAGCCTGGGGGAGAGCAGGGGAAGGGGGACCCTTGAGGTGGGGTGAGCTCTGCGCAGCCACAGCCCCAACACCCTCATCACGGCTGCTCTAGCACACAGCCTGAACGCCTGTGGAGGAGCTGAAGGAGGTGACACCGTCCCAGCCAGACCCAGCACAGGGCAGCATCAGCCCCCCCTGCACGGCCTGGCTTCTCCCCAGCTCCTGCCCGCTCTGGGGAGACCCCGCTCCCCGGCTGGATGTGCTTGTTGCCCTCGTCCTGCTCCGTGGGGTCCCTGTGTCCTTTGGCTGCCTCGCTGCCCATGGGTGACTTTGTACCCCCCCAGCCCTTTGGGACCCCCATGCCCTCCAGCCTCACCGCACCACTCTGGGACCAGTCCACCCCACATGCTGCCCATGCCAGCCCAAGCTGGCTGCCACAGCCTCATCCTGCCCAGTGAGGGGCCAGGGCCCCAGGCAGGGCTCCCCTTGGCCGAGGGGTCACTGGTGGGCTCTGGACAGGCGTCCTGCAGAGCACCGCCATGGTGGCTGCTGGGAGGTGGTGGTGAGCAGATGGTGGGGCGGGCCAAGCCGACAATCCCCCCTAATCCCATCAGGGCAGCGGGGGCCAAGAAGAGCTGAGCGGGGCCATGGCGGGCACACGGGCACACGGCCGCCTCCTGCACTCGCTGCTCTGCCAGGTGGGACTGCGGGGACCGGGGGGCTGGTGGGGAGGGGGGGCTGGAGCAGGCTGGGGGTGCCAGGATGGTCTGGGGGGAAGATCTGACCTGATGGGGTCCCTGCTGACCGTGCTCCCCCCAGCTGTGCGGCGGCTGTGGCTGTGGCTCCTGCCGTGGGCTTCGCGTTTCCACGGGCACCCGCATCCTTTACACACTCCTGCACGTCCTGGCCTCTGCCGTGTGCTGCCTCATGCTGTCCCGCACCGTGGCCCAGGCCGTCAGGGAGAAGGTGACTGTGGGAGCTGAGACACCAGGGGTGCTGGGGGTACCGGGGTACCAGGGGTCCCAGGGGCACTGGGGGTGCTGGAGATCTGTCGTGGTTTAACCCCAGCCAGCAACCAGGACCACGCAGCCGCTCACTCGCTCCCCCCAGTTGTGATGGGGAAGAGAATCAGAGGGGTAAAAGTGAGGAAAAAGTTGTGGGCCGAGATAAAGACAGGTTAATGGGAGAGCAAAAGCCACGCACACAAGCAAAGCAAAATCAAGGAATTCACTCCCTGCTCCCCGTCGCAGGCGGGTGTTCAGTCATCCCCAGGACAGCCGGGCTCCATCGCACGTAACACCCACCCGGGAAGACAAACGCCATCACTTTGAATGTCCCTCCTTTCGTCCTTCTTTCCCCAGCTTTATAAACTGACACACATGGGATGGAATATTCCTTTCCATCAGCTGGGTCAGCTGCCCAGCTGTGTCCCCGCCCAACTTCTTGTGCCCCCCCAGCCCTCACTGGTGAGGCGGTCTGAGGAGCAGAGGCAGCTTTGAGAGCCCAGCAACAATCAAAACCACCCCTGCACTATCACACATTCTTTCGTCCCAAAACACAGCACTACACCAGCTCTAGCAAGAAGATTAACTCCATCCCAGCTGGAACCATGAGTGCTGGGGGTGCCAGACATCCCAGGGGTACTCAGGGGTCTCAAGAGCACTGGGGGTACCACAATTGCCGGGGGAACCAGGAGTACTAGGGGTAACAGGGCTGCTGGGAATGTCAAGGTCTCTGGAGGAGCCAAGGGGGAAGGGGTGCCAGGGGTACTGAAGATGCAGGACTTGGCCAGTGCACTGGGGGTGCCGGGGGTCCCAGGAGTACAGGAGTTGGAGAAAGTACTGGGAATGCTGGGGGTGTCAGGAGCCCAGGGGTGCTGGGTGCCGTGGGTGCTGAGGTTTGCTGGGCACACCAGCAGCCCCGTCCCACCGTTCGACGCACCTGCAGGTGCCCTTCTCGGCTGTCCTGTGCGAACACCTGCCTGGGGGCTCGGACTGCGAGCGGCTGGTGGGCTCCTCGGCCGTCTACCGGGTCTGCTTCGGCACCTCCTGCTTCCACCTGGCACAGGCTGCCCTGCTCCTCAACGTGCGCTCCAGCACTGACTGCCGCGCTCAGATCCACAACGGGTACGGGGACAGGGGGGTTGCCGAGTGGTGGGGGCTGATAGGGGTCCTGACTCCCTGACGCCTGCTGCCCCGCAGGTTCTGGTTCCTGAAGCTTCTGGTGCTGGTGGCGCTCTGTGCTGCCAGCTTCTTCATCCCCGAGGACGGCTTCATCCAAGGTGTGCCCCCTACCCTGCCCGAGCTGGCACCCTGTGGTCCCCGGGTGCCCCGTGACAGCCCCACACTTCCCTCTCCCCCCAGCCTGGCACTACACGGGAGTCTGCGGGGGCTTTGCCTTCATCCTCATCCAGCTGGTGCTCATCACCGCCTTCGCCCACACCTGGAACAAGAACTGGTGAGTGCTAGGGGGCTGGGGGGGCACCCGCCTGCTGCTGGCTCTCACCCATGCTCCCGGCTCCCATCCACGCTCCCGGCAGGCTGACGGGCGCCGCACAGGACAAGCGCTGGTACCTGGCCGTGCTGATGGCCACCGCTGCCTTCTACACCCTCGCCTCTGCCGCCTTCTCCTTCCTCTACAAGTTCTACACCCACCCGGCTGCCTGCCACCTCAACAAGGTGCTGCTCGCCCTGAATGGCAGCCTCTGCGGCATCATGTCCTTCATCTCCATCACGCCCTGCGTGCGGCTCAGTGAGTACGGCACGGCACGGGCCACCATGCTGCGGGGGGGGTTGGCTATGAGCTGCCAGCTCAGGGCAAGCACATGGGCACCTGGGGAAGACCCAGCTCCCGGTGGTCACTCCTGTGCCTCGGCACAGGGCAATGGGGGGGAGTGGTGGGAGTGGGCTGCCCAGGGCCCAGGCAGAGCCCGCCAGCTCCTGGTGCTCTGGTGACACCTCTGCCCCCACCCCTGCAGAGCAGCCGCGGTCGGGGCTGCTGCAGTCCTCAATCATCAGCTGCTACGTGATGTACCTCACCTTCTCCGCACTGTCCAGCCGCCCCCCGGAGAGAGGTGGGTGCCCCCTCCCTACCCCTGGCAACCCTCCCTGCTGGATTGTGCACCCATCTTACCTCCATCTCCCTCACAGTGCTCTACAAGGGGCAGAACCTCACCGTCTGCTTCCCGGGCATCCGGCAGGATGAGCTGCAGACAGAGGACACCACCGTCGCCGTGCTGGGGGCCACCATCATGTACGCCTGCGTGCTCTTCGCATGGTGCGTGTGCCCCCTACCCCGTGTGGGCACTGTCCCTTCTGGGCATGGCCAGCCAGACAGGAGCCCTATGGGGACACTGTTTCTGCCGGTGGCATGGCCAGTGGAGTCATGGTGGGTGGTGGATCAATGGGCTGAGGCCAATAGTGTAAAGTTCAGCAAGGCCAAGGGCCGGGTCCTGCCCTTGGGTTGATGTGTTGGTTGATGTGTTGGACCCAGTGTTGGGTTGATGGTTGGACTCAATGATCTGAAAGGTTCCTTCCAACCCAGACAATTCTACGACTTTATGATGTCCTGAGGGACGGCAGGACCAGAGCAGGCTGGGCATCTGCAGCTGGGCAGGGGCAGTGCAGTGACCCCAGGCACAGCAGGTTTCTGGTGGCTGTGTCAGGACTATGGGGTGGGCTGGGGGCCTGACGCAGGGCTGTAGGTGCCTTCCTTACACTTTCTACTTCTCTCATGGGCACAGCAATGAAGCCTCCTACCTCGCCGAGGTCTTCGGCCCCCTCTGGATGGTCAAAGTCTACAGCTTTGAGTTTAAAGTGAGTACAGTGCTACCCCTCCCACATCTGTGCCCTGTGTCCTCCTGTACCCCAGATCTGCCACCTCAAGCCCTCCTGAGCCCCAGATCCTTGTGCTTGGCTGGACAAACCTGCCCCAGGCACAGGACTGGGCCTGGGGCAGGTTTGTCCAGCCAAGCACAAGGATCTGGGGCTTCCTATGGCACATCCCCACCTGCGTCGGCTCCTGGGACACACTTCTCTCCCTGCAGAAACCCTCCTGCTGCTTTTGCTGCCCTGAGAAGATGGAGGAGGAGCTGAGAGGTAGGTGCAGGATGGACACATGCCCTCAGGCGCCTGTGTCCCAGGTGGGGGTGCTGGCGAGGAGGGGGTGCAGGAGCCAGGCCCCCCCTGTGCTCTCCCAGGTGCCGAGCAGACATGTGAGCAAGGGGAGGAGACCGACAGGGGACAATGCGTGGTCCAGGACGAGCGAGACCGTGTGGTCTACAGCTACTCAGCCTTCCACTTTGTCTTCTTCCTCGCCTCGCTCTACGTCATGATGACCCTCACCAACTGGTTCAGGTAGGGCCCCAGCCCTCCTTGGCTTTCCCTCCCCTTCCCTGTTGCCCAGCTGGGACTGCAGCCCCCCCAGCCTCGTCACCACCCCGCATCCCCAAGGTGCTCCCCACGTGAGCTGGGCTGTGGGGCTTCATGGCAGGCGGTACAAGCCCAGGGAAACACGGCTGCTGGGACACAGGGTGATCTGGTGGCTGCAGCAGGGGCTGAGATCCCTCGTGTGGGCGTCCCCCAGGCACCCAATGCCTGCCCTCTCCCACCAGCTACGAGAACGCAGTGCTGGAGACCACCTTCACACACGGCAGCTGGTCCACCTTCTGGGTGAAGGTGTCCTCCTGCTGGGCCTGCGTCCTGCTCTACCTGTGGCTGCTGCTGAGCCCCCTCTGCCTCCGGGGCTCCCCCCAGCACCGGCGCAGCAGCCCGGCCCTGCGCGTCCTGCGGCGACGACGTGCCCCGCAGCGCATCAGCGTCTCCACGTAGTCCCTGCTGGGACAGACTGTGCCTGGCACCCTGCAGCCGGGGCTGCTCCCCGCCATGCCCTGTGCCTGTGTCCTGGCCTCGCTGGCCTCCCCTGAGCCCCTGGCCCAGGAGATGGTGGCATCTCCGAGCTTGCTGGGACCCAGGCGGTGGGCGCTCCCGAGGACACCGGTCCTGGCTCATCCCTGCCTGATGCCGGGCTCACTCTGGCCACGTACCGGTTGCCAGCCCGACTGCCCTGGCCCGGGGTCTGCCGTGGGAGTGGGCTCTGCCCCAGCCACCTCCGTGTCTCAGCTTGCCCGCCGGCAGTGTGCTCATTGTAAATAGCTCCTTGAATACATTTTTACATAAAACTCTGAGCTCATCCCATGCTGCCACGCAGGCTGCAGCCATGGGGCTGGGCATGGCGGTGCCAGCAGCACCTCAGCACCGGCCCCGTCCATGCAGCAGCCACAGCCAGAGCAGGGAGCGCTGGCCTGAGGTCCAGGGCTCCAGAGGGGCATCCAGCCTCAGCCATTGCCCCTGACAGACTCTGAGCTAAGCACCTGGAGGAGCCAGCCCCCCCACCACAGGAGGATGTGGGGATGCAGGGATGGCTCCAGCATGACACAGTGCTGGGGACACTGGCCTGAAAGGCACCCATGAGCCATCAGGGCATCGAGCCCCAGACAAACACCTGCCTGGGCAGCAGGGACTGTCCCAAGCCCCTTGGCCAAGGACCTAACCCCAGCACAGCAGGGACAGCACTGGGCCATAGGGCTCCTTGGGCACCGTGCCCAGCCTTGGCTCACACTGCTCCTGTCCCTTCCTGTCCCACCCCAGCAGTGGGGGACAGTGGTCACAGCACCCCCAGAACACCCTCCACCCTGCCCACACTCTGCAGCCAAACAAAGCCCTGGGGAGGATGGACGGACGGACAGATAGAGCCCCTGGCTTCTGCCAGCACCTCCATGGGCCCGGTGGGAGGGGAGACTGGGAGGCACTGGGTGGGGGTCCCAGAGGAAGCCAGGGCACCAAGAGGCCCAGCTCAGCCGCTGGGGAGGGTGTGGTACCGGTGCTGCCACAGGATCGTGCCCCGGGCCCCTGCTCCACCCGCAGAGCAAACACGGTGGGGCAGCACCGTGGGGCACCGGCACCGCCTGACGGGCCCCACACGGCCACGGTGGCGGCTGGTGCCGCCACCACGACGGGGACTGACACCCACGGCCAGGGGTCCCACCAGCGCCCAACAGCCCACCGCAGCTGGCAGGACACGACCCCACAGGAGGTGAGGGTGGCACCGCAGGGTGGGCAACAGGGGGGTCTGGCGTGGTCCCCATGCAGCAGCTCCCGTGGGGTCCCCAGCTGGAGCAGCGGGGGCTGCACCAGTAGCAGGGGGGTCTGCAGTGCCCAGTGTGGGACTGCCCTGGGGACTGTGGCTCGCACCTTCCCCAGGAGATGGAGGGACCCACACAAGGCTTGGGGACAGACATAGCTCAGCTGCGGCGCCAGCTCCGGGACATAGCCCAGGTAGGTCTGGGAAAGGGCCAGGCAGGGGTCCCTGTAGCCCCAGGCAGCAGAGGGACCCCGTTGCACCAGGCTGCGCCCCAGCAGGGACCTGTCTCACCCTGCCCAGGAGAACGACGGGCTGCGGCACAGCCTGCGCCAGACCAAGCACGGTGTCTCCCAGATGCAGGCAGAGCTGGAGCAGCTGCAGAGGAACTTCAAGCAGGACCAGCAGTGCAAGAGGTGGCATTTTGGGGGGGGGGAAGGGGAGTGGATGGCAGGGCTGTCCCCAGCTTTGCAGGGACCCTGTGCCAGCCCTGTGCGCTGCTTTAGCAGCTGAGCGGGTGGCACTGCCAGAAGGTGCCTCCCCAAGCCCAGCCACAGGCTGGGGGGCTCTACCAGACCCTTTATGTGGCATCCCACCCTGATGCCACTGGGGGGGGCAGGAACCCATCGGGGACATGCTGCCCTGCTCAGCCATGAGCACTGGCAGATGGGAAGCCTGCCAGAGCTGCTGGCACATCCCTCCAGGCCTGCTGTTGGCAAGCCCTGTGACGCTGGGCGTCCTTGGGGCTCCCTGGCTGCTCCACAGACAGCTCTGCCCCGCTAAGCACGGGGGTGCAGCCCCTGTGCCAGCCCAGGGCAGGTCCCGGTGGGGGCCCTGCCCTGAGGATGCCGTGTCCCTGCAGGGAGCACCTGGCCCTGCAGGAGATGGCGGAGGAGAATCTTGCGGCTGCAAGCTATGTCAGGATGCTGCAGTAGGTCCCAGGCTAGCCAGGCAGTAGCAGGGGAGCAGCCATGGCGGGTATCTGGGGACATGCTCCTGCCTGGGGCGTGGGGGTGCCATTGCTGTGGGTACAGCCCTCCCCTAGGTTGGTCCCCTGCTGTCCATGGGCCTCAGGATGCTCCCTCCCACCAGGACAACAAACAGGACCCTCTATGAGACCAACATCAGTCTGCGCTCAGCCCTGCTGCTCAGCCAGGACAGGGACATGCCAGAGGTGAGCCCTGTGGGGCTGGCACCGGAGCGGGAGGGGAGGGCCAGGTCCAGTGCCCATCTGGGCAGGGGAGGGCAGGGATGGTGGGTGCTGGCCCTGCCTGCAGCTCCAGCTCAGGGGGACACAGCACACAGGTGGCCACCAGCACTAAGAACTGCATGAGCCCCTGGAGCTGGGGGCCATGGAGCCCCCATGCCCGGGGTACCCCCTCACCTCCTCACACGATGCCTCCATGTTGAAACACCTTCTCCATGGCAGCCATCCCTCCTTGTCACCGGCCAGGAGGGCACCAGCAGCTGGTGAGTGATGGAGGGCAGAGGGGCAGCACCAGCTGCAGACACCCCTCCCTGAGCACTGCCCTCTGGCACAGGAGCCGGGGGAACAACTCCTCGCACCCCAGTGCAGCCTCTGGGATAGAGGGAGACCTGGGCCACAGCGGTGCCAGCCTTGGGCAGTGGTTGGGATCAGCCTCCAGCTCGGACACAACCTCCTCACTCAGCAGCAGCTCAGAGGACAGGTCTCCCCCCAGCCCTCACTGGGGCACCGAGGTGAGGGGAGGGGGACACAAGTCCGCTTGCCCACAGCTCCCAGGCTCAGGCCCCTCACCGCGGTGCCTGTCACCCAGCAGGCCCCCAGCTCCCTAGCGAGTGAGGCAGAGGAACCCCCTGGCTCTGCCAGGTGCTTCGGCAAGAGGAAGCTTCCTGCCTTCACACTGCAGGTAACCGGCAACTCCCCATCCGGGGCAAAGGCCCAGGCTGGGGGGAGCCAGGGCACCCCTGCACCCTGTGCCAGCCCCCCACCGCCTCTTGTGTCACCAGGGGTGTGAGAGGAGAGAGGAACCTGCACCTCCCTGCCCCATGTACCGGCTGGTGCTGGCAGGGGACGGGGGCACGGGGAAGTCCAGCTTCCTGCTGCGCCTCTGCAGGAACGAGTTCAGAGGAGACATCTCCAGCACCCTCGGTACAGCCCCCCAGCACCCCCCCATTCCCCGGCACCCTCGGTGCCCGGGTCGGGGCAGCACCTGACTGTCCCTCCTGGCAGGGGTGGACTTCCAGATAAAGCAGCTGCTGGTGGACGGGGAGCAAACCACGCTACAGATCTGGGACACGGCCGGGCAGGAGAGGTGAGAGGGTGGGGTCGGGGCTGCTGCCGCCCTGCCCGGGTCCTGCTCTGCGGGCCGGGTCCCCGCACCACGGCGGGGCCGCCCGTCCCGTCCCGTGTCAGTGACACCCCCGCCCCAGGTACCGCAGCATCACCCGCTCCTACTTCCGCAAGGCCCAGGGCGTCCTGCTCCTCTACGACATCAGCTCCCCCAGCAGCTTCCTCAGCGTCCGGCAGTGGATGGAGGACATCAAGGTAGCGGGACGGAGCCGGCGGGCACCCGGTCCCCACGGGGAGCGGCGGGAGCCCCGCGATCCGCCGGGTGCGGGGCGCAGCGCAGGCGTAACGGGAGCCGCCGGCGTGCCCCGGGGCTCTGCGGCTGCCGGAGGGGGCGGGCGCGGCGGCGGGCGGAGGCCGGCGGCCCCGCGGAGCCTCGAGCCGGCCGTTACCCCCCCGCAGGCCGCCGGGGGGCCGCTGCCGCTCATGCTGGTGGGGAACAAGCTGGACCTGCGTCCCGGGCTGCCGGAGGCGGCGGGGG